CCCCAAAACCCCAAAACCCCAAAACCCCAAAACCCCATATTTATGAAATATGATTGAGTCAACCATAATAAAATAATATCTTTCAATGTTTTTAAACTATCAAGAAGACTTTTTCAAAGATCAGTCAGACTATCAGTACATGTTTGGACAAGAGTTATCATCAGAAGTTGACTTGTTTGAGATCAGGCATACGGGCAATACTCAATCTCAGACTGGGACAGAAAAGAATCCTTTCATTGAGCCCGGAGACCCTGGGATATTTGTTCAAGAGTCTGACAAGAAACCAAATTTGTCTGAAATCTCCAATTTTCATGCTCCAATTCTGGCTGAAGAGGACTTATTCTCCGAAACTGAGCACCTTTTGAAAATTCTAAGAAAGGAAGTGGGACTCTGACCTATCGAAGTATACCTAGACAATAAAACTGGACAAATTATGATCAAGAACAAGTCTGTAGAAGGGCTAGACTCAGAATCTGTTCTTCAGCCAGATTCACCTCAAGAACCACAAGCTGAGGCTGTTAAAAGCGAAGAGAATTCCAGCTCATTGTGATTTAACAGGAGAGTCAGGTTCTCAAAGAAGCATGACAGAGGTAAACCTTCAGTTTCCCAATTAGTTTCTCAGAATCGTTCTTGGCTAAATCTTTACTGAACTACTCGCTCGATCCTTGAGTTGGCTAACCTGTTCTATAGAGATGTTCAGCATACTCAGAGAGCTCTGAGACACCCACTGAGTACCGCTCTCCAACTTCTGCTCTGTCAGAGAACCTCTTGTGGAAAGTGCCCAGCTGGTGATGGACAAACTCTCAGAAGAAATAAAGTGGAGAAAAAGCAGGAAGAAAGATCTTCTCAAGAGGATTTGCAAATATGTAAATGATCCTACTTTCTCTCTCAGAGATGCAAGGTTGCTCAGAGAACTTGTGAAGTCACAAAAACAGAAGGGAGCCATAGATTTCACGTCCTTGCTCTACTATTTCCCTGGAAAAACAGCTCAGCAGTTAGAGTATCAATACTCAAAATCGAAGGACAGAAAGAGAACAAGAATATCTAATTTATTATAAAGTTTCATTAAGCTTTCATCTCGACTCCTTATTAAGTGTGGGTTTGGTGTAGTATCTCAGAGTTCTTTAAAGGTAACCCCAAGCTTAGGACTAAGCCTGACTGGAGAGTATTAAGATTCTATAATTTCTGAAAAGGCTATCAGCAAGAATTTCTGTCAGTAACAGTTTTATTTGAATTTATGGAAGAAAGTTAATTTAACCATGACGAAAAATTGGAGTTCAGGCTAATAGAAAGTATGAACACATGGCTCTGGCTGAGTTTATGCTTCTCTGTAAAGACTGGCCAGACTAGGTATGAAGGAGCCATAATTCTTGGAATATCTAGAGCTTTTGATTCTGATAATTTAAAATTACTACTTTATTTCTAATTGTTGTCAGAAAGGACTTTGGGTAGACTAGTTGGCTAGACAATTTTTGATTGTAAGAAGCCATTGACATAAATATTGGCTGATTCATGCATGTCGGATCATGCCTACCCACTTCTAATAGTGATGGAGACTCATCTGGCAAGTCTTCCTCCACAGTTAATTTAATCCATTCTCATTTTGGAAAGATTAGTTCTCTAATCGTACAGAGGAAATTCTTTATTTTAATTTTGCAGTTTAATGAAGGCGCAATGAGAGATTGAGAATTATGACAGCTTAACGGTTTTCCTACTCATGTTTGGCTTGGGTCAAAGAGAAAACAAAGAAGCAGTTTGCTTATAATTAACTAGTTTCTCAGCTCTAGAAGGCCTGGAAGCGTCTGTGTAGACATTTTCATATCTCTAAACTTCCTGGTGAAATATGTTTATTTAAAAGTTTTGACTGGGATAATAAAATTCTTGTGATGTATGAATCAATGATGGCCCAAATAATTTGTGTTTGCAGTGGATACAATCAACAAGCTTCTTTGGCCGATAGGGGTGAAGACTATATATCTTGAAATTAGCTGGGATTATTGCAGAATGGGCATGCCTGATTAAAAACTCTGAAGCTACAAATAATATGTAGCAATAGTCACAGAAGCTAAGTTAGATGGATTTGATGGGATTTACCCATTACTTTTATCTGGGAACTTTCTAACTAATAGATATTGGAGATTAGTCTACAAGAGAAATGTGGCTTCCAACGATGTGAGAAGTCATTATTTTTATCCAAGTGGCAAACTCTTAGTTAAATCATTAATTGTGTTCATTTATTTAAGAGGTATCTGGCTTGAGAACTGCCTTAAGAGAATTGAAATGTCAGATTCATCGAAGTTGCAGGAAAGATGAATCAGTTTTCTCATGCATTCAAAACTTCTAAATTATTCAAAATTTGAGGCTCTCGCTGTTTCAGTTTAGATATCGCTCAAATCTTTTAGAATAAAGCTTGACTTAATATTATGGCTTTTTGCTTTGATTATGTTCAGAAACTGTTGCCTGACTACAAGAAAAACAGCATAACTTTTTCTCTCTTGTTGGTTGGAAAATTTTGATTTAAAAATACAGAGAAAAGTAGGATGGTTAAGAAGAAATTTAGTTCAGGGAATCGAAACATCAATAATTTGGCAATTTTTATTATACTCTAAGCTATTACATCTGCATGCCTTTTTCTAGTGATAATTTAGTCTAGGAATCAAGAGGATGGCTAGCATTTAAACCAAGGTTCGAGGATTATTGCATTATTAAAAATTAACCTGTTTGAATTCTATTGGCCTACATACTCATCAAAACCTGGTGGAACTGTTGATTCCAACACCCACCGTGACAAAGTGACTCTTTGCGTAACTTGATCATCACAGTAGAGTTTATAATCAACATTTAATAAAGTCCCAGGCAGGAATATTTATGAAATATGATTGAGTCAACCATAATAAAATAATATCTTTCAATGTTTTTAAACTATCAAGGGGTTTTGGGGTTTTGGGGTTTTGGGG